TGTTGTTTATTAATAAAATAGAAACTTAATAAAATAATGATTTTTTATTCAGCTGTTTCTATTAAATCGAGTTCAAATTTGTCAATATATTTAAAATAGAATGAGAAACAAGAATTTTGTATTGAGAAGTTCATGGACTATACTTTTTGATAAAGGAGACCGAGCTAGACAACGTGTAATGGCTCCACCAGTAATTTCTCCAAAAATTGTGATATTTCCTGGACCGAATTTTAATATATTTTTTTGGATCCATTTTAACGCTAAGATTACATTTATTAGACCTTGATTACCTGCTGCAACTTTATTGTTGAGGTTTAGAAAACCTGAAATTATGTTAATTTTTACTCTCATAATATTGATACATTATGGCTAAAAATAAATGATCAAAAAATAAACAAAACAAGTATTTGTTTTTGTTTAATAAATTAAGTATAATTTTAATTTCTTATTTATGATTTGTAAATAATCTTTTGCTTTTCAAGGCATTTACTTCAATTTTATAAATATTTGCCATAATAAATAAAAAAAATATTTACTTTTATTTTCAATAATAGGTAAATATATTTATTTTAACTTTTCATTTTTACATTTAATATTAATATTTGATAGTAATTTGTAAACGTAAAACGCTAATAGATTTGAAATAGTAAAACTATAAATCTAATGTGTGTTCATATTGTCATAGAAAAGTTAGATAAGACTATAAATGCGAGTAACATACAAATATCCATCAATGTAATAAATGTCGTACCTAAAACGCCTAACTTATAATTCAAAGTTACTACGTCTTTTTGTACGACATAATCAGGATCGTACCAAGCTGCATCACCGGAATCTATAATAAACGCACCACCATGTATCCATACCATTACCGGATGCTCTTTCGAGGATTCGATTTTTGTAATATATACATTTAAATAAAGGCAATCTTCATTTCCTATAACTTTGTGTTTGACAAGCTCTACTTGAACAGCTATGTTTCCATACTTTGTCGCGTCTCTTTCACCATGGTTCCACTAGTACAGCATCCTAAATATGTAAAAAAAAAATATATATATATATATATTATAAATGAATAAACATTTAACGGGATATACTTAGTTAAAAAATATGTATTTTAAAGGTTAAAAGTTTTTTCTTATCGTGCGCATAATTAATTTGTTAACATTTGAAGAAAATCAAGACTTTCTTTCAATCTAATTAAATCTAATTATAGTAATTCTAATTTTAAGGCAGATGAGCTAAAGTTTATCGTCCTATAATTATTAAGTACATGAAGAATGACAAAGCACTAATTAATTTACTAAATAATTTATTACCTTAAATCTTAGTTCGCCATCTGGAAGTTTGGCATATAGTATTCCGCAAAAGGCAAAGTAACGAACGTTGTAGCCATCTACGACGACTCCGATCAATTTTCCTTCAGCTATTTGTACTTTTATTTCACCCATAATGGATATATACTGTAAGAATAAAAATGAGAACAACATTAAAATGTCTACCTGTGTTCATTATAAAATATTTATGATGTTTATAAATATATACTTTTTCATAATATATTTTGACTTTTGTTTTGATATTTTTTTCTATTATAAATTATCATTTTATTACTGTTTTTATTACGTTACAAACGTTTTTAAATGCAACATTACAATAGATATTTTAACTATCAATGTTAGTTACATAAAACGAGATTAAATATAAATTTTTGAAATTTTGAAATAATCGCTTGATTGTAAGTTCTACCGTTTTGTCTCTTGACGTTATATTTTTCAGGTCGATGTTTTACCATTTTATCTCTTGACGATATAGATTTTTCGATATGTGATACGGTGTGTAATTTTATTTTTTAAACACATGATTAGAAACATCATGTATTGAACAATTGAAATGACACGAATGTTTCCATTGTATTGTTTTTTTGAGATTGCTTATAATCTTAATCGATAACGACAAAAGCAGATACCTAATCGAGTAATGTTTCCTAAATTCAGTGATACACAAAACTAAATATATGAACTATATTTTCTATGTTACAATACAATGTTCATATCATATATGTTAATTCTGCATATATAATTAATTTTTTGTTTTTATAGTTTATGTCACATGGATTATGTAAGCAAACTCGAATGATTACAGCAGCATTATTTGTTGCTCGTGTTAGAGCCTAAACACAGACTTTTGCATAACGCATAAAACGTAAGAAATAATTATGGAATTAGTTTTATGTGTCTCAAGGTTAAAACTTAATCTGTGTTCTTTGCTTCCTATTTCTTGTTTTTTACCTCATGTCTCTTCTTTTTTTGCGACCATTTTATAGGTAATTTCGTTTCTTTTTAAGTGTTGCTTGTTTCTTCTGAAGTTTGTTAAACTTTATTTTGGGCGACAGAAAAAAAAGCTGGTAAAAAAATAAGAATTAAAAAGGGATAAAAAATAGAAAACAAAGAGCGCATTGTAGATAAGGCTTAAAAAAATTATCTGAAAACAGAGTCCTTTATATTTCTTGGTTGATTTGCCTTATGCGTTAAGCAAAAGTCTGTGGTGCGACTTTTATTGTACGTCTGTAAGGTTGGAGTATCCCTATAAATGCAAATCTATTCGTAAAATTATAAGGAAATGTTTTAAAAAGATCTTATTTATCTCTATGCTCAAGTAGTTTTGCGATACTGTTTTCAAAGATCTTTTTTACCCGATATTAATTGAATGACTTGTGCGTTTTAATTCTCCAAAGAAAACTGGCTGAACTTTCAAGAATGCCAGTTTTATATATCCTCCATTAAATGTACAAATATGTAAATTGGTATAGAAAAAGGAGAAATATCTGATTTATGGGATACTTAGTCTGTTTCGTTTTTACTATTTGTATTTTGCTATTATGCAACTTGTATTTTCCTGTCTTTAATCAAAAGATGTTAGCGTTATTTAACTCAGGACATTTCTGATATTCTTATCGTATAAAATTAAAATAAACTTGAAAAAATTGAAAGAAAGTAGATAACACAACTTTACATCACTTTCATATGATGATATAATTTTTGTGTAACAAATATGTAAATATATATAAAATATAAAATATAACGGATAAAACATTTTATGCAATATGTAACGATATACTCTTTTAATTATCTTCAAATGTGAATCACATTTCAAATTTATTTGAAATAATTTACGCAAGGATATATATCTATAATCGAAATAAGTATTCTTCTTGTTAGAATTATAGACAATGTTTTATTTTATAAAGCTTGTAAAGCGATATAAAAAATGTTGTTACGATCAAAATATTATAATAATTTTAACGATAATAATTATAATGTTCCAAAAAAGTTTATGATATTTTAAAAATTTGTTATTTGGAACACTAATAGAATCAATACAATAATAAATTTGAATGCCATATTTAAAAATATGAAATGCGTTGATCGAGTTACTCAATTCATATATTAATTGAAATGTACAAGAATTAATTATAAATTTTTGATACAGTTGTTTATTAATGAAATGTTATACTATAAACATAACATTATTTTAATTACATTAAACTTTTTACTAGTATCGTTGTTTATTTTTAGAAATTATATGAAATCATACGAAGATGTTATTATACAATATTGTAAAAATATTGTTCCTATTTTAATCGTTTTATGATAAAGCTTCTGAAAATAACATCGTGAATTTTACTTATATAATTTTTGCACGCATCACATGTAAAGGGTGTTTTTTTAAGCCCGATAGAACTTGAAATT